CACACACACACACAAGTTTCCACGCACATCCGCATGCAGGCACACACATTGACACGCACACAGATACACACACGCACACGCCATCGCCAGCAAGACTCACCCGTCAGCCCTGACGTCCCTGATAACAATTCCGCCAAACTGTAACGCCTTCTGCGCGGATGCACCACGCGCGTGTGCGTCCACATGTGTGATTGGCTCGCCGCCCTGCACAACAAGCCCAAGACGACGGCTGCTGTCGCTCTTGCTGATGTCGATGCGCAGAGTCCCCGTGTCTCCGTAGTCCGGCCACGCTGATGGGAGGAAGGGGGAAGGGGTTATGGTGTGTGAGTTGAGGTGATGGGTTGGGGTATTGAGTTGGGCATGAGGTGTTGTGCAGTGAGGGAAGAAGCGATGACGCTCATGGTGATGGTGCCGTGGTTCACGTTCCGTGAGAGGAAGCCGCACGCGAACACATGCCAACACATGCTAATACATGCTAATACGTGATAGAACATGCTCAGGGCCATCAGTCAACGCCATGCAGCACACTCAGCACCGCCACCATCGCCACGACCACGGTCAACACCTTGGTCGCCGCGCTGCGCCTTCTTCTGCTCCTCCTCCTCCTTTGCATGCTGTGCAATCAGGTGCTGCTTTGCCTGCAGCTCTTGTGTCGACACCAACGCGTTGAACACGGAAACATCAAACGGCTGGTATAACAGGGGCGGTGGCGGGGAGGAGTGAGTGATGGGGGAGAGTGTGGACCGCAGAGGAAAGACAATGGTATGAGTTCAAGGTATGAAGCAGAGGGAGAAGGATGGGAGTGCAAGTTGCCGCACAGCAGCCATCGCCCCCACAATCGGCAACCATTGTGTCACTTCACCATCGCCACCTAAAACACCATCAGCATCCCCACCACCACCACCACCACCACCACCACCACCACCACGGACCGCGACGGAAGCGAGCATGTGCAGACCTTGAGGAGCGGGCGAATGGTGGCGAGGACGCGGAAGTGGTGCGGGTCCGAGAGCTGTGCAAGGAGATATCGCGCCATGTCCTTCAACGGCAGTCGCCCATGCAGATACGAGCGCACCGCATTGGCAACCGGCTGCCCAACGTCTGCAAATGTGTGTGTGTGTTGGGGGGAGGGGGTTGTGTGGGTTGTTGGAGGGGTGTTGGGAGCGGTGTTTGGGTGTTTGCTGAGACACGCACACGCACACGCACGCACTAGCACTAGCACTAGCACACGCACACGCACACACAGTGTGAGTGCGTGCACACCTGCTCCGAGCACGTCGACAACAGCGGCTTCCATTGCCATCTTGGATGCGGCCCCGACGACAGGCGGCTGCGGCCGACCAGCAGCAGCGGTGGTGGTGGTGGTGGTGGTCGTGGTGGTAGTGGTGGTCGTGGTGAGGAGGAGCAGGAGGAGGAGGAGAATGAGGAGAATGAGGAGGAGGAGAATGAGAAGCAGAAGAAACAGGAATGCGCGCGGAAGCTCGTGTTGGACGAGGGGTGTGTGAATGAACGGGCACATCGCACCTCTGCGACGCGGTGTTTGTGCTTTGTTGCCTCCTGCTGTTCCCTCTCCACCTCTTCCGCCGGCACAAACTTGACGTCGTCCACACTGCAGAGAAGAGGCGAAGATGTGTGAGGCTGGTGGTGATGGTGGTGCTGTTCAAGCATGACCGACACTGTCATTCATGCGTCCATTGCCCTTCACGACATCACACTCCATGACACAACCACCTAACACGACCCCACGACACTAAAACACCACGGCACGGTACACCCACCGCTACACAATACACCCACCACGCTCTTCCCTCTCCTCTCTCCGTCACTGACTCGATGCGGTGTGTTGGGACGCGGCCACGATACTTGACGACCATTAACAGATCATCAGATCGCCGAATCAGATCAATGACTTCCTCGTGCCGAAACGCAGTCACGTCCTCGTCGTTGATGCTCAGGATCTGCAATGCAGCAGCAGCAGCAGCAGCAGCAGCAGCAGCGGTGGTGGTGGTGATGGTGATGGTGGTGGTGGTGGTGAGGGGGGGCGGAGGGACGGGAGTAGAAGGAGCAGCATTGATGAGGTGTGGGCAGGGTTGCGTCACAAATTGAACACCAGCCACCAGCACAAACATTAGAACGTGACTGCGACAATGTGTGACCACGTTCATGTGATGCAACGCACCTGGTGCCCCGGCATCAAGCCAGCGCTCTCCGCCTGGCCGTGGCGATCAACACCTGACACGCACGAGAAGGTGGTGATGATGAGAGGAAGAAGTACGAAGCCTGAAAAGGTGCACGCACACACACGCACACTCACACACACGCACACACACACACTCACACTCACACGCCCACGCACACGCACACTCACTCACTCACACTTACACACACACACACACGCTGTGGCTGGTCTTACTTGAGATGAAGACGGGCAGGTCAAAGTCGCTTCCGCCACGGATGCTGAATCCCAGCGGTCCTGTGCTTTTCTGCAGCAGAACGCGCCGCTCGCCCTCGTCCGTCGGCAGCGATGGCGAGGATCGACCACCCATCGGGGCGCCCAGGGACGTCGCGAGCGCCTGACCCTGTTGTGGTGGGAGGCGGACGTGGTCGTGGTCGTGGGTGGCGTGTGGGTGGAAGATGATGAGACAAACAATGTGTGTCTGTGTCTGTGTCTATATCTGTGAGTCTGTGTGTGTGCGTGTCTGTCTGTCTGTCTGTGTGTGTGTGTGTGTGTCTGTCTGTCTGTCTGTCTGTCTGTGTCTGTCTGTGTCTGTGTGTATCTAAGGTGGTACATATTGCACAGGACCACGGTCACACCACATTACTCAGCCAATCACCATGCAACCAGCATGTCCACAACAGCAACTGCGAGCCGCACCTTTCCGTCCACCCAATTGAATGTTGAGCGCGCCACGTATTTCGCTGGCACGTGGCCCGTGTACTGCGACCGTTATGACGTGACGTGACAAGCAACGATGATGATGGTCATCAGACATGCAGATGCGTAGCGGTGTTGTTGAAGACGTACGTCTACATGCATATGCTCGGGTGGCGTCATCACGACGATAGCGTCCCCACGCACACACGCACGTGCACACATACGCACGCACGCACACACACGCACACACGCACGCACACCCGCACGCACGCACACACATACGCACACACACACATACACACATACACACACCCAAACACACAAAGGGTCGCCTGTCTCACCCGCACGACGAGGCGAAGGATCGTTGTGGTCTTGATAATCTCCACTGCGCGCGCATGGGTAATGCCCTGGAACGAAATGCCGTTTGCAGAGAGGATTTCATCACCAATGCGAAGACCCGCGCGACCGGAAGGGGAATCCGCATCCACCGACGACACAAACACGCCCGTACCTGAAAAAAAAAAGGAGTTTGTGTGGCGCGAAAATGCACATGTGAACGTGAATGGGTGAATGTGGGTGCGTGTGTGCGTGTGTGTGTGTGTGTGTGTGTGTGTGTGTGTGTGTGTGTGTGTGTGTGTGTGTGTGTGTGTAATGAAATGTGTTTCAACGTATGCGCATCCGGGGAGTGTATCTGCCAGGTATTCCAAGGCAGTCCTCATGTACGCACGCTTGTTGCACGATACATGAAACGCAACCGCACAAACGCCGACCACACTGTCCACCCCACCCCCATTTCACTTCCTTACCCATATCGTATCCACCACGGATGTTCATGCCGAAACTCTCGTGTTGGTGGCGCTGGATGCTGAGCGGGCGGCTCACACCAAGCGACTGCACAGCAACGAAGACAGGTCAAAGTAACATGAGTTTACTGAGTGTACGTGCTGTGCTGCCTTGAAGGCACGGCGATGGAAGGATGTGCGCAACGGCCTCTCTTCTCTCACAACCCAAACCCAAGTTGCCCCCGCACCCCCCTCTTCCTCTGCAAAGCAAAGAGTGCATTAACTACCACCTCCACGCAGACACACGTACCTCCAGTTCTTGCTTTGAGATGGGGTGTGCCATGTGCTCGTAAGGTGCCATCTTGTCAAACGCCGAACGAAGCTGCAAGGTGTTCAACATAGCAGATCAGGGTAAATGTGTGTGAGAACGAAGAAAGAGGCGAGGGAACGGGGTGCGCTGAGGGGCCACATGTCAAGCGCACGGTATCGCACCGCAAAGTCATCTGGAATCAAGAAGCGCAGCGGCCGGAGCAAGTCGCGCTTCTGTGGTGTGTCGAGAACAATCTATCAAATTATACACACAGAGGCAATCGTGCAGCGGTGAGGGCGAAGCTGTGCACAATGGGAGAAGAGAACGGAACACGCGAGCAGCCCATGCACTGGTAAAGAAGCTGCTTGACGAACAAGCTACATGCACAAGCAAGCTAGCAAGCAAGCTAGCAAGCAAGCAGCTGTGCAGTCATGAACCCTACATTGAGCGTGGCCACGAGCCTAGGCACGGATTTTGAATGCTTAAACTCTGTCAGCGCATGCTGCAACTGGACCTTCTCATGGTCATTGAGATAGTGCTGGGCCTGTGCACGTGTGTGTGTGTGTGATGTGTGATGTGTGTGTGGTGTGTGTGATGTGTGTGTGAGGCAATCATGCGCTCGCAAGCAGGACAGTAACATCCAATGCCACTCAGAGAGAACAAGGAACCCCCACTTCCCTCAACACCGCACAACGCACACCACACACATCACACACCACACACACATCACACATCACACACCACACCACACACACACCACACACCACACACACACACCACACACCACACACCACGCACACGCACCATTTCCTGGAACTCAGCCACATGCTGTGACCGTGTTGGTGGGGACGCTTGCATCGTTGCAGTGTGCGTGAATGTGATGTGGCAAAGCAAGCAAGCAAGCACAACCAAGAAGAACAACAAGCAGCTGAAGCAGGCGTTGTTGGCGTTGTGCTGTTTGTATTGTTGGCTGGTGGTGTGTGACTGAATTCAGTCGGTGGGTGTTTGTGGAAGGTTTGTGAATACCGGTGCAAATTTTCTTGGGCGCTGACCACTGGATACGACGGAAGAAGAACAAGAGGAAGACTTCAAGCAAGCAAACAAAACCATGGACGCTGCTGCTGTTGTTGAAGCTGCTGGTGCGCACAAGCGCCCTGAGGATGCCAAGCACGTTGGTTATGGCACTGCCGGGTTCCGCACCAAGGCAGACATCCTGGACCACGTGCTGATGCGCGTTGGCGTCTTGGCGGCGCTTCGGTCCCGCTGCAAGGGCGGAGGTAAGGCTGACGTGTTCGTTTTGTTGTGTCTGTGTCTGTCTGTGTCTGTGTATCTGTGTGTGTCTGTGTCTGTGTCTGTGTCTGTGTGTGTGTCTGTCTGTGTCTGTCTGTCTGTCTGTGTCTGTCTGTGTCTGTCTGTCTGTGTGCCTGTGCCTGTGCAATTTAATTGCTTGTGATGTGCTTCTGCAAGACGCCAAGTCAACGACTTGCACATGGGCACTGACGTGCTGGTACGTTCGCTCCACCCTCTGCTTTCCCGTTCCCCACGCCTTAGCTGCCATCGGCCTGATGGTCACGGCATCCCACAACCCGGAGCCAGACAACGGCGCCAAGCTGGTGAGTGCACGCTCACTGTCACTCAATGCAAGAATTGGCGCATGAAGATCGCGCTTGGCCGCTGCACACGCTGATAAAACATGCAACCCTATTGTTTTATTTTGTGTCACGTATGGGTCTGGTGCAGGTGGATCCCATGGGTGAGATGCTGGAGGCGAGCTGGGAGGCATACGCGACCCGCCTCGCAAACTGCAAGGACGACGAGCTTGTCGGCGAGATCAACGTGCGGCCTGCGTTTATGTGTGTGTGTGTGCGTGTGTGTGTGTGGGTGTGGGTGTGTGTGTGGGTGTGGGTGTGGGTGTGGGTGTGTGTGTGTGTGTGTGTGTGTGTGTGTGTGTGTGTGTGTGTGTGTGTGTGTGTGTGTGTGTGTGTGTGTGTGTGTGGGTGTGTGTGGGTGTGTGTGTGTGTGTGTGTTTGTGTGTGGGTGTGGGTGTGGGTGGGTGTGTGTATCTGTGCGTGTGTGTTTGTGTTTGTGTTTGTGTGTCTGTGCGTGTGTGTGTCTGTCTGTCCATCTGTCTGTCTGTCTGTCTGTGTGTGTGTGTGTGTGTGTGTGTGTCTCTCTCTCTATGTCTCCCTCTATGTCTCCATGGTACACAAGTTTCTTTTGCGACAGCTCACGTGCTTTACGCGCTTCCACAACCACCAAAACACGCGCGCGCTTGTGCATGAGCAGACCATCATCTCGGAGTGCGGCATTGACATGCAGACCAAGGCCAAGGTTGTTCTCGGTCGCGACACGCGCGGCAGCGGCCTCAAGCTCTGCCAGGCCGCCCGTGACGGCTGCACGTAAGACCATGCCCGCATGCGCACATGTGCTTGTCCGTGTGTTGTGTGTGTGTGTGTGCATTTGTGTCTGTCTGTCTGTCCGTCTGTCTGTCAGTCTGTTGTGTGTCTGTCTGTGTCTGTGTGTACATCTGTGTGTTACCCTGTGTGCTTCTGTGAGAGCTGAACGCAAGCTGTGTTGGTTGGCTCGTTCCACCTCACGTCACCATTGCTTCTTGCAGCGCACTCGGTGCTGAGGTGGTGGATCTGGGCATCGTCACCACGCCACAAGTCCACTACGTCGTGCGGTGAGTGACCCGTGCCTGCAAGCACGCACGCCAATCACAACTCAGCTTCAGTCGCTGCTCATGCGTCAAGTGCACGCTTGTGTTGTCGCAAGCACATCTACACATCCGCACACCTACGCGCGCATTACATGCGTGTCTACACATCCGCACACACCCAAGCATCACCCACCTCACCCTTCACCACCTCCACCACCTCCACATGTCTGCTGCCTGCTGTCTGCTGTTCAGGTGCCTGAACGACGCCACATACGGCACGCCCACGGTTGCCGGGTATCAGGAGAAGCTCGCAGCAGCATTCAAGGCAATCTGGACCCTCGCAGGCCGCACCGACCTAATCAGCCTCAAGGTACAGATGCCTTTTGTGTGTGTGTGTGTGTGTGTGTGTGTCTATCTGTCTGTCTGTCTGTATGTATGTATGTCTGTGTGTGTGTGTATGTGTCTATCTGTCTGTCTGTCTGTCTGTCTGTCTGTGTGTGTGTGTATGTCTGTGTGTGTGTGTGTGTCTGTCTGTCTGCCTGCCTGCCTGTGTCTGTGTGTATCTGCGTGTGTATTTGTCCATTTACCCATTGAGCTTGATTCTTTGGTTGCTGCTCGAGCCATGCCCACTGGTGTGGGTGCTGTGACATGTCCACCTCACACCTGACCTCACCATTCACATGCATGTGTGTGCATGCATGCATGCAACAGCTTGACTGCGCCAACGGCGTTGGTGCTGTGCAGATGAAGGAGCTTCTGAAGCACCTCGACTCCATGCTCAAGGTGTGGCAAGGCAGCGGGGCGCACCACGCTGCCTCCATGCTCAAGGTGTGGCAAGGCAGCGGAGCGCACCACGCCGCATCAACCACCACATGACGCTCGTCACACCACAACACGTCAGCACCAACCACAGCCCACACCACACCACACACCACAGCACGTCACAGCACGTCATTTCCATCCCTCATGTCTCCTCGTTCCCACTGCTGCATATGGCCCCCTTTGTCTGTCAGGTTGAGATGTACAACGACGGCAGCGGGCAGCTCAACCACGAGGTGGGCTTGACGCGTGCATGCATTACTTGCGCTATGGACGTTGCATGCATCCGTGTGTTTATGTACATGTGTTGTTGTGTGGCCGCGTCGTGAATACATGTGTTCTGGTCATACACACATACACATCGCCTCAGCTCACCCCTCATCCCCCCACCCCCCCTTTCGTCGCAACGCTGCAGTGCGGTGCGGACTACGTGAAGGTGCAGCAGCATGCACCGGCCAATATGACGGCTGGCGCGGGCGACCGCTGCGTCACGTTTGATGGCGATGCCGACCGCGTGCTCTATTTCTTCACCAGGGATGGCACATTCTTCATGCTGGTGCGCACGTTCATGGAGGTGGCATGTGTGTTTTGTGTGTGTGTGTGTGTGTTTTGTGTGTGTGTGTGTGTGTGTGTGTGTGTGTGTGTGTGTGTGTGTGTGTGTGTGTGTGTGTGTTAATGTGGGCGCTGGTGCAACAGATGTGACTTCCTGTATTGGTGTGTCTGTCCATCTCTCCAAGTGTGCGCCCACTCATGCGTTCCCCGCCTCTTTTCTCTCCACCAGGACGGCGACCGCATCTCGTCGCTCGCTGCGCAGTTCATCCAGCAGTGCGCAACCGCCGCCGCCCTCGACCTCAACATCGGCGTCGTCCAGGTCGCACACATGCACACACGCGCGCGCGCACATGCACACACACATGCGCATCCACGTACACGTGTACATGCGCGCATAGACAATGTGGCTCAGCTCGAATTCGTATGCACACGCACACGCACACATTCACATTCACATTCACATTCACATTCACATTCACATTCACATTCACACGTGTATGTACTCTCCGCTCCACGTTGCAGACTGCGTATGCGAATGGCAACTCGACCAAGTTCCTGCAGACAAAGGCCGGTGTCCCCGTCGCATGCACAAAGACAGGTGCATGATGCAATGATGTCGTGATGCCTTCGTGATGGATAGTGTGTGTGTGTGGTGCATAACTCCTTTTCTCATCCACAACTGTGCTGTTATTACTCGACACACCATGGCATCCCATGCTACTGCGCACCAGGTGTGAAGCACCTGCACCACAAGGCCCTCGACTACGATGTCGGCGTCTACTTCGAGGCAAACGGACACGGAACCGTAAGCTGGCCATGGCAGCTTGTTTGTTCGTCTGTGTTCTGATGCTCTCTCGCATGCAGATCGTGTGTCTGTGTGTGTCGAAGTATCCATATGCCTGTGCGTGCGTACTTATCCGTATGCCTCTGTGTGTGCGTGTGCGTGTGTGTTTGCCAGGTTGTGTTCAGCGATGCTGCTCTGAAGAAGATCAACGAGCACGAAAGTGGAAGGTGCGCAGTTGGCCTTCCACGCGAGTGCAGACAACAGCTGACTGACTTTGCATTTGGCATGCGACCATGCTGCTTGATGAAAGGCGAATACGCAATCACGACCTCGCACTCACTCTGAAATGCGTGCGCTTGCATGTGCGTTTGTCTGCTTACATGTGTGTGTGTGTGTGTGTGTGTGTGTGTGTGCTTTCGTGTGTGCGGATGCGTGCAGTGAGGAGGGCAAGCGCGCGATTGCAATGCTCCGTGCAATGACGGAGCTCATCAACCAGGTGCAGTCGCCAACACGGGATCATGCAATGCTGCTGGTGATGGTGTTTATGTGGTGCTCAACACTCGCACATACAGGCACACATTCACATTGTGCTCGCGCGCATGCGCGTTCACACCCACGCACACATTCTCACGCATACACATTCATGTGCATTCGCACATATACGCTGACCGTTGGTCTGTCAATCCACTACTTGCATTCGCTTGAAGACTGTTGGCGATGCCATCTCAGACATGCTGATGGTGGAGGCCATTCTTCTGCTCCAGAACATGACTGTCGAAGACGTGAGTGCCGTCGTGGTGGAGGGTGTCGTGGCGCTGCTGTGTGCTTGCTCACGTGTGTGCATGTGTGTATGTGTACGTGTGTGTGTGTGTTATTGCTCGTTCGATGGCAATCGTACCAGACTGCTAATCTTTCACTCACTCAACACAACTGTGATGTGATGTTGTGTGTGTGTGTGTGTGTGTGTGTGTGTGTGTGTGTGTGTGTGTGTGTGTGTGTGTGTGTGTGTGTGCAGTGGGCCGCCATGTACGACGATCTTCCCAACCGCCAGCTGAAGGTCAAGGTGAGGTACACACGCGTGTATTTCCACACGCACAATATATCCTATGTGCGCCTGCAACAAGCACCTGCACACAACAACGTGCTGACACCTAAACTACTGTTGCTGTTGTTATCCTTGAAGATTGCTGACCGCTCCGTTGTCAAGACAACCAACGCAGGTGTGTACGTGTATGTGAGAGTGTGTGAGAGAGAGTATAAGTGCTTGTGTGTGAGTGTGTGTGTGTGTGTTTGTGCGTGAAAGTATGATTGCTTGTGTGTCATCTGCAATCCGAAACGCTTGCATGCGTTGCCACTCACAATGTCACCCGTTGTGCTTCACATGTGTGTGTGTGCAGAGCGGGAGTGCACGGCGCCGGCCGGTCTCCAATCCGCCATTGACGAACTCGTCAAGAAGTTCACGAGCGCGCGCAGCTTCGTCCGGTGTGTCTCTGTGTCTGTGTCTGCGTCTGTGTCTGTATCCATGTCTGTGTGTATGGAAGGCATCAAGAAATGCGTTGCCGAGTGACATTTGCTTGTGAATCAACGACCTTCCCTTCTCGCTTTGTATGTTCTTCTTCCACTCATCTTTGCTCACCCTCCACCATCTTCGGCACGCTCCCATGCCTCCTAACCGCCTTCTCCAACGCAGCCCGTCCGGCACAGAGGATGTTGTGCGCGTGTACGCCGAGGCAGAGACGCGCGTATGTTGTCGTCGCCACATGGCTTGTGCACGTGTCCACGAATCATCAACATCAACGCCACGGAACTCTTCATGCTCTTGACACTCCTGTCTCGCCTCACCCACCTCATTTCCCGCTCACCCATCTCGCCCATCTCACTCATCTCATCCTCACAATTGCCCTCCGACCCCCGCCTTCAACACGTTGTTCAGGAGCAAGCTGACACGCTGGCCTGGGCTGTTGCTGGCAAGGTGAGCCCTTTCCAGCATGCTGATACGGATGGTGCTTGTTGCAGTTGTGATTGCTGTCGTGTCTGCTCGCTCGCTCACTTTCATGTCCGCTGTCTGCTGTTTGCACCGTTATTCTCAGGTGTGGGACCTTGCAGGCGGCATTGGTGATCGCCCACATGCCCCATAAGCACACACGCACACGCACGCGCACACGCACACGCACACGCACACACACGCGCGCGCACACACGCACATGCACGCACACTCTTTCCCTTTTGTGTGGTGTCACTGATGTTACGTTCTCTTCAAGGCACGCACTGCTTGGGCGAGTGCACGTGATGTTGTGTCTGGTATTGAGTGTGGTGGTGAACATGCCGACAACGATGAACAGACACGACGGAACTGCAATGAATCCACCGAGGTCCATATGAGCAACACCAGACGTCGCGGAACGAGAAAGGGACAGGGAGGAGCGAATCCGATAACAGCGGATGAAACGAAAGCGACAGAAAAGGGAACAAACAAACCAACACTTGCAAGCACGACAACAACATCCTTCAAGCTATTCGCTCATTACCGCGCACACGCACAGAGAACACTCACTCTCTCACTCACACACAACTCACTCACTCATACACACACAACGCGCAACACACACACACACCATGCAACACACTCATTCACTCACTCGCCTACGCCCACGCGTCCTTCCGCCGGGAGTTAGGCGTCTGTCTCTGGGCGCACATCTGCCACCTCCGCGTACCCGCCACTGTCAGCAGACCGCATGTCCCCCGCCTGCATGTAGCCCTCCTCCCGCACATTCGCCACCTCCGCGTACCCGCCATCGCCCGGTGCCCCGTGTCTCACCTCTCCCACGTCCATGTACCCCGTGTCTCCACTCGTGGCGTTGCCTGCACGCACGTCACTGATCTCCGCATAGCCGCCATCCGCTGGGCCCGTGCTCCTTGCATCAGCAACGTCCATGTACCCGGTGTCCACTGTGCTCTCGCTCCGCACCTCTCCCACATCCATGTACCCCGTATCCACTGTACCACCGCTGGTGGTGTGGGATGCTGTTGCAGCTGTGTCTGCCACGTCCATGTACCCCGTGTCCACGCTGCCTGACGCCTTCCTGCTGCCTGGCGCCGTCTCGGGCGCATCGTCCATCTGCCGCATCGCCTTGATGTCCGCCAGCGAGATGTACGGGTCCTCCGGGTCGTCCAACGCAAGGTCCATGTTGTCGTAGTCTTCCCTGTCGTACCCGTCATCGTCGTCGTCGTCGTCGTCGCCGCCCTCAAATATGGTGTCGAGAGCGGTGCCGTCCTCCAATCGGCTCTTGAGCCCCGACGCCTCGTGCTCGAGCTCCTGCAGCATCGTCTCCAGATTCGCCTCTGCGTCCTGCTCGTCGTCGGCCTCGTCGCTCGACTCCACGCCCTCCAGCCCCTCCAGGCCCTCTGCTGCAGCGCCGATGAGGCGTGGCTGCCACACCGCATCTGGCGGGCACCTGAACGGCTCCCCCGACGACACAACCAGCACGTCGTCGTCGTTGACAAAGCCAATGTCCTTGATCTGGGTCCCATCTGGTGCGAAGACGGCGCCGACTGGGAAGCCCATAGCGTCCGAGGCAACGATGCGCAGCTTGTCAAAGCTGGTGGGCAGCTCGAGCACTTTCCCGCCGGCGCGCTTGCCGTTGGGGAACACGGTCACGCGATACATGATGTCCTCGTCTTGTGTTTTGGGGACTGCTGACCAGCGCCGCCGACCTTCCCACGACAGCGCAATCTCCTCCGCGGTGGTGACGGGCACACCCTTGGGCACAACGGAGCGGAGCGCCTGCAGCCATGCCTCCAGGTCCTCTTTGGTTTGTGCAAACACGTAGAGGGATTTGTTGGACGTGAAGACGCCGAAACACAGGTGCGGGTTTGCGCCAGAGTACCATGAGATCTTGCATCGGCCGCCTGGCGCCACCTGCGTGCACCGTGTCAGATCAAGGCGACCAGCCTAGTGGGTGGAAGTGGAGGTGGAGGTGGAGGTGGAGGAGAAGGTGGAGGGGAAGGTGGAGGAGAAGGTGGAGGAGAAGTGGGTGCGTGGGTGTGGGTGTGTTTGTGTGTGTGTGTGTGTGTGTGTGTGTGTGTTTGTGAGTGTTTGTGCGTGTGTGTGTTTGTGTGTGAGAGTATGTGATTAATGAATAGGCACAAGGCATGATCAAAGGAAGAAACAAGTCTCCACCACGCAAACACGCAAGCACAAATGCGCACATCAAACACGCACATAGAACACTTACCAACCCACAAACACGAACACACACACGAACACAAACACACACACACAGCACACAACAAACAACTCTTACCTCGTGTCTGTGTGAAGAGACGACAAAGTATCTTAATTGCTTGTCATCTGTAAGTTCAAAGTGTCTGCGCTTCCAGTTCTTCCGGATGTGCCCACGCTTGGTCAGAAACCCGCTGAACAGCAGCCTCGGCTCAGACATGGTGCTATGGTGTGGTGTAGGGTGTGGGGTGGAGTTCAGCGAGTGGTGTTTGCTTTGCGCTCTGCCAGCCAAAATGGACTGCGCCTGAATTCAGTGGTTATTGTGCTCGTGGAATCTTCGCCTCTGCCTGTGAGTGCCGCAAACTTTTTGAAATTGTGGCATTCACTTGTTCGGTTGTTCATCATCAGGCCTTCTTTCTAGGGCGCTGGCTGGTTGACTGACTGCATCCTTGCACCCGCACCCTCTCCTGCTGCACAGCAGATGGGAGCAAGGTGCAGCAGCGCACAGCACGCTCACGCTCTTCCAGCTCTTTGTGGTTGATCTCGCAGTCGCCATTTGTTGGCAAGCCCCTTTCCTTTCTTGCTTTGTTTTGGCGAGACGCTTCGAGTGGATGGAAGGGATGAATGAATACATAGATGAAGAGAATGAATGAAGGAATGAATGAAAGGATGAATGAATGAATGAATGAATGAATGAATGAGCGATCCACTCATCACAATCAAAGGTGTAACACGCGACTGTCTGTCTTCTGTGCTGTTGCCGCTGGTGTACTGTCGTGGCACGTTGACGCAACGTTGACGCAACGTTGATCGTGGATGGAAAAAAATGTCTCTTACTGTTTTATTGAACTGCAAAACCGCGAAAGCGATACCGTGCGTGTCTGCTCTGGCTTGCAACACACCCCTCTCCCTCGCCGCCGAGAAGGCATGGACACTGGTCACACCTGTGATTGCAAGAAGCAAAGTTGGCAAAAGGCTTGATCGCTTTGAATTCGGTTCGTGTCTTTATTCTGTACAAGAGTGTGTGTGTACACGAGAGAGAGAGAGAGAGAGAGAGAGAGAGAGAGAGAGAGAGAGAGAGAGAGAGAGAGAGAGAGAGAGAGTGTGTGTGTGTGTGTGTGTGTGTGCGCGCGCGCGCGCACGCGCGTGTGTTTACATGAGTGCGTACAAGGCGCAGCCAAATATTAATTACTGTCAACAGCAGATCAAAGGAATGAACAATCGTTGGCATGCATCGAGGGTGTCAGCGCCGCTGCTAGCGAATCGTGACCTCACGACAAGACGACCAAGGATACACCTGCCCGCCAGCCCACATCTCACGGCAGCAGAGAGCCAGTGCTGGACGCCTTGGCGTGCATGGCAGCCTGGATGTGTGCCCGCAGTCGCTGTGCAAGCGTGTCCACACGGTCCACCCTCTCCAGGTACTTGTCGATTGCGGCGCTCGCCTCCTCCAAGTTGTCTGCAGGGCGACAGATGTGTGCACACGCATGTGGTTGGGTTGGTGTGAATGGAAGCCGCAAGATCAAGCATGTGGGGAGAAATATAGGCTGTGACATGAACACATATGACCGTTGACGGACGCACACACACACACGCACACACATGCACAGACAAACAGACACCCCGCCCCCCCACACGCACACAGACAGACAAACGCGGCGTGCGCACCAAGCTTCTCGTGGGCAAGTGCGAGGTTGAAAAGCACATCCTCGTGGCAGTGTGGGGTTGCGGCTGCCCGCTTAAAGTCATCAAGCGCATCCGCCATCTCCCCAAGGCTCGCCTGCAGTATGCATACGTGGTTGCGTGGTTGCGCGTGTTTGTGTGCGCGCGTTGTGTAAATGGACAGTGTGACGTGCATCGAGGATGCGCATGTACTTCGCATTACACCCTCACCCACGGTAGACGAACACGCCCACACATACACAGCATGCAGGTGTATACAGGCACACACACACACACACACACAAGCACGCACACACACACCTTGCAGATGCCACGGTTGTTGAACAAGTCATCATCGTCCTCCTCGCTCAGCTCGCACGCCTTGTCGTAGAGTGAAAGTGCCTGCCGCAGCTGTCGCTTGGCCAGCAGCACGTTTGCCAGGTTGTAGTATGCGAGCACATATGTTGCGTCTGCGGCAATGGCGGCCCGGAAGTCCTCCACAGCCGGGCGACCCTGCTTTGAGTAAAGCAGCACAACACCGCGCGCGTTGTACAGTTTCGCTGCCGGGATGTGTGCAGGTTGTGAATGATAGAGAGGCGAAGTACAAGCGAGAACATGCGCGCGCGTATGTGTGCGTGTGTGAGGAGTTGGGAGGCACACAAGGAGGAAACACGCAGACTCGGGCACAGGCACAAGCGCCCAGCGGCAGCCAGGCACACAGGCACACAGGCACACGCACAGAGCCACAGACAGACAGACAGACAGACATACATACATACATACATACATACATACATACATACATTCATACATACATACAGACATACACACACACACACACAGACACACAGGCGTGACACATGGTGGCACCTGTTGGGTGGACGGAGATGGCGTGAGACAGGTCTCGAAACGCATCGCCAAGCTGCTGCACCTGCAGAGAAACAACAGCGCGGGCCTCGAGCAGCACGCTGTTATGCGGCGCCCACGTGATGGCGTGCGAAAGCACCACATACGCCTGCTTCAGGTGGCCAGAGGTTTGCATGCTGCAGTACAAGACCAAGGGCAGCAAGCAACGAGGGGGGAGGGAGAGAAAGGCATGGTTGAGCGTGGTGTCATTCAAGTGCTGATGCAACCAAAGGCCATGGAAGGAAGCACCAGCAACCAAAGTACAAAATGTAACAAAGCAGCAGACCACAACACCATACAACGCAGCAACACAGCACACCACGCAACGCAATGCACGAAGCACACCACACAAAGCCCCGCCCCCCCCACCTGACTGCGAGGTTGTGGTATGCGGGGGTGAAGCGTGGATCGATGTGGATGGCGCGGAGGAAGTCGCGTTTGGACAGGCGACGTGACCGCTCCGTGTTCATGTCCAGCAACGCATTGCCGCGCCCAAGATACGCTTGCACAAACTGACCATGTGCGTGCGGGTGCGTTGATATGCGCGTATGTTCACGTGAGCGATAGAGAGTGAGAAGTGGGTGTGAACAACGAGACACCAAGCAAACAGGTAACGGAATGATGGTGATTGGTTGATTGATTAGTTGGTTGGTTGGTTGGTTGGTTGATTGATTGATTGGTTGATAATGATGATGAAAGGTCCTGTGAACTCACGTGATGGTCGAGGTCGATGGCGCGGCTGTAGTACTCGATTGAGTTGAGATAGTCCCGGCTGGTGCATGCGCGTCGTTTGAATACGGGCAAGGGAAACAAGATGAGAGGCTGCAGCCTGCATACAGTGAAACATACACACACACAGACACACACAGGCACAGACAGACAGACACTCACACATACACACACACACACAGACGGACACACACATACAACACACATACACACACACACACAGAGCTCTCACTTTCTGTAGAAGCACAGGGCGGTTGTGTGCAACAGGAGCGGGTTTGACGCGTTCTCTGGCGAGCGCTCCAACAACTCGAGCAAATCGCACAGCGCAGCGAGATTTGACCCCATACTCATGTACGCAAGCGCCCTGTTCAGCAGCACTTGCTCCCGGTAGCCTGTCATGATGGCACGGAGGAGAAACGGTTGGGGGGGGGGGGTGGGTTGGACGAGAAAGCCATTGAGCTTATCGTGTGCAAGGTGGTGTTCCTTCACCAACGCTAGTCCAACCAGCACACATACACAACTCACAACGCACAGCCCACGCACCCACCCACACCTACACACCCACCCACACCTACACCCACACCCACCCCCACAGACAGCACACCCCCACTCGCACGCACACACAGACAGCGCACCTTCTCCCTTGTCGTAGAGGAGGACGGTACTGTAGTCGCTGACGGCGTTGTTGTACTGCCCGAGCATGTGGTGCCCAACACCGCGGTTGAAGAATGCGAGCGGGTTCCCTGGGTCCCTCTCTGTGGCGTCCGTCAGATCGCGTACACCAAGCTCAAGCGTCTTGTTGAGGAGTTTCAGGCACCCGCGCATGATGAGCGCACGTGTGCTGCTGGGCTCAATGCGGAGGGCCTGGAGAGGGGAAGAGGGGTAAGGGGGGGGGCAGGTCGAAAGGAAGAGCGGGTATTGCGAGCATGGGTGACTTGGTGAGGGAATGGCAATAGCCACAGCAACAACAATAACAACTGAAGCACAGCAACAGCAACTTCAAGGGCACTGGCCGCAATGCCACGTATACACACACACACACACACACACACACACACACACACACACACACACACACACACACACACACACACACACACACACGTACGTTGTTGCAATCGAGGATGGCCTTTGGGAACCTGGACTGTCCTGCAAAGTAGGCAGCGCGCGTCAGGAACCCTTGCCACAGGGACGGGTCTTTCTCCAGTGCTCGATTCACGTCAGGCAGCACGCGCGGCAGGCCGAGCTTCAGTTTGCACTTGGCCCGCTGTCAAGTGCATGTGTGTGCGTGATTAGTTCGTGGGTGGGCAACGAAGCAAACGCCAACGAAGGACAAAGCATGGAAAGGGAAGTACAGTATGCACACACAGATGCACAGACACAGAGACATACACACATACGCAAACGCACACACAGACACAGACACAAACACACACACACACACACCTCAAACAGGGCGAGCGAGTGTGTGTTATCCATCGACACGGCTTGGTTAAACACGTTGAGCGCGAGTTTGTCGTCGCCAAGCTTGAGGCAGCACAGGCCGAGGTTGTAGTACACATCCGCACTGCAGGTGACAGCACAGCACATGCGCGTGAGATGCAGGCGTGTATGAGAGTGTGCACGTGCACACGTGCGTGTGGACGCAAACAGATATAGACACAAGGCAACGTGTACACAGACACATACGCTCAAATCGCACTCTCACGCCGATACAGCCAAGGAGCACTGTACCAGCAACACCCATCACTCCCATGCTCACTATGATGCGCGCACCTTTCAGCACCGACTTCAACCATGTGCTGGAAGACGCTGACGGCCTCTTGCACGCGATTTGATTTGAGCAGCGCCCGACCCAGCGCAGGAAAGTACGTCTCGACAATCTAATCATTGGGGGAGGGGATGGTGATGGTGACGGTGATGAGGGTGTGTCAGTTACACGTAGGGTTTGGCGTAGAGGACAAGGGCGCAAGCGTGTGCATGCACAGACAAATACTACAGTAGCACCACCACCACCAGCACACTCATCATCACCACGGCCGCTGCGTGCCTCACCCCTCCTTCGACGCGGTTGTCAGCCAAGTGCTCGGTGACGTTGGTGATGGCTGCAGTATTGCCGCTGCTCGGCCACACCGTCCTGCACAGCACCGCAATTGCCTCGTCCCGGTGGCCCAGGAAAATCTGCACATGTGTGCGTGTGCGCGTGCGCGTGCGTGTGTGTGTGTGCGTGGTGCGGTGTGTGTGTGTGTGTGTGTGTGTGTGTGTGTGTATGTGTGTGTATGTGTTTGTGAGCGAATGGGTGTAGGCGTGTTTGCGCGCACGCGCGAAAATGTGAGTGAGAGAACATGTGTGTGTCTGTGCAAGCGTGCCCTTGTGCATGCGTGTGCATATCGCCCATGCCAGCCAACGTTGTCTGCGGAACGCGAGGTAATAGTGCAAACAGCGTGCACGATAGACTCAAGAAGGGCAAACGCACATCGACGTCGGTCTGCAGCGAGGGCGTCTGGCCAAGATGGTCGCACAGGCGCCGCGCACCGCTCAGCATCGCCTCTGCCTGGCGCGCAAGGCCCAGGCGAAGGGCAAGGCGGCCACACAACAGCCTTGAAGGAAGTAGGGGAGAGGGGGAGATGATGGCGGTGATGTTGTGAGAGCAAAGAGACGGAAGCAGAGGATGCGTGTGTGTGTGTGTGTGTGTGTGTGTGTGTGTGAGGGGGCATGCGCGCGTGTGCTCTTGCAGCGGTTGTCGTAACACACCACTCTCACCTGTATTTGATGTTGGTGGGGGCAATGTGGATCAACCGTGCATAGTCGTGCAACGCTCGAAAGAGGGTCTGGTCAGAATAGTCTGGCAGGGCCAGTCAACAATTCAGCAGAACAGCAAAGGTGTGTGTGTGTGTGTGTGTGTGTGTGTGTGTGTGTGTGTGTGTGTGTGTGTGTGTGTGTGTGTGTGTGTGTGTGTGTGTGTGAGGGTGAGCGAAGCTGGCGCTCATGTACGCAAACAGTAATCAGAAACCACACACGAAGGCTCACTTGCCACAACATACGACATCCCAGAACATCTCAGTTGCACCACAGACACACACACACACACACACACACACAGACACAGACACAGACAGACACACACACAAACACACACACATGTGGGAGCTGACCTGTCTCGAATGCCCTGCTCTGCTTGTCGAGTTCAAGGTAGCACTCTGCACGGGCGAGGATGGCATCTTCACAGCTCGGGTCAGCGCCCAGCGCTTTGGTAAAGTACTTGATGGCAGTCGCATACTTGCCCAGCTGCCGCAGATTCAGCAGCCCGAGTTGGCACAGCACTGCCGGAGAGCGGAAGAGGGGGGGCAGGGTGGAGTGTGGTGTGAGAGGAGAAGAAAAGAAGGGATACGTTTTGGAGCGAGCCCGAAAATTGGAGATACACACACGCAAACATCACCAAGAAACACGCACAGACACACAGACAAACACGCACGACACAGACACACACAGACACACACACACGCACATACACACACACACCTGCGACGAGAGTCTTTGTGGGATGGCCAAGTTTGAGGCATTGCAACTCTTCACTGGCGAGACAGGCGAGCAGATCAGGCAGGGCCTCCTTGTGCTGGAACAGCATCGCGTACAGCATACCGCGACGCAGGTACGCCTCGGTGGAGAGCTCGTGACTCGCATCAATGAGCAGCGCAATGCTCAGGTCCTTGATGGCGCGGCGCGGGTGTGCCCTGGAGAGCATGAGCGCGCGGTTGAAGTACGCGCGCTTGTTGTTCGGTTCGAGATGGATGCATTGCGTGATGTCACGCAGCGCTGACACGTGGTCGCCGCTGTGTGAGTTTGCCATTGCGCGCTGGAAGTAGAGGTGGGAGTCGTAAGGCATGGCCACAATGAGAGCGGTGAGGTGCTTGATGCTCTGGCGGTAGCTGCCCCTGTTAAACAGCACCTCCGCATACTTGCGGCGGGCCATGAGGTGGTCTGGATCAATCTCAAGCACCATCAGAAGATCAGATGCCGCCTGCTGCATGTCTCCATGCTCCTCCTGCTCGCGCGTGCGTGTGTGTGCAGCATGCGTGGATGTTTCGTGGGTGCATGGGTGGGACCTCGTGAGCGCAAGCAGGTCTTGCTTGACATCCACTCCACGCTACACAGGCAAAACGACGAAGTCGTAGATGGAGCCACAGATAAACAGACGCATACACAGGCAGACAGACGCACACACGCGAGGGCTGCGACCTACTTCAAGCATGGCCTTCATGTAGTACGCGTCGGCGTCCTGCCCATTGTAGATGATGGCCATCTGGAACAACAACAAGACCAACAACGATAACAGAAGCAGCAGGAGGAGGAGGAAGAGGAGGAGGAGGGGGTGGAGGAGGAGGAGGGGGTGGTGGTGGTGGTGGTGGTGGTGCAGGGATGAACACGATGGGATGGGATGAGTCGAGTGAGTCACAACATCATGAGTCCTCAACACTGTTAATCATGCATGGTTAATTGCCGGCCAAAGTGCGAAAACAGTGCGTGCACCTGCAGTGCGGAGATGGTGTCTGTCTCCTTGCCCGTCGTGTCCTTCAACAGATGTGCGCGTGCGCGGTAAAAGCGATACTCGGGCTGCAGGCGAATGCACTGGTCAATCACCTCAAGTCCAGAGTGGGTGTTGCCCACAATTGCGTATGCCATAAACAGCTGCACCGTGCGTAAGCGTGTTGTGAGTCAAGCGGAGAAGGTGAGAGCAACGCGCAGGAGAAACACTCAGATGTGCCTGTGCATGCAAACACCCTTGCACGCACAGCTGGTCGGCCCAAGGACAACAGTGTCACCGGTAAGAACAGCAACAAGTACAAGAACAAGAACAAGAACAAGAACAAGAGCAAGAGCAAGAGCAAGAACAAGAACAAGAACAAAAAAAAGAACAAGTACAAGAACAAGAACATCACCCCTACAGCCATGACGCACCAGCCAGCGCGCGTGGACATTTCTTGGGCTCTGGCTGACGGCGCCCTGCAGGAAACCGAGAGCCGCATCCGGTCGCGCAAGGTGAAGCGACGTCTCTCCTGTGATGGCGACGTTGGTGATGTTGGTGGTGATAAGGATGAGGGTAAAGAAATGGGGGGGAGGGATGGAAACGGGTGAGCCTGGCATCACCTCAGAGCAAGAATACACAGATTCAAACGAGCTACAAACCATGTGTATGGGTATGAGTTTGTGTATGTGTATGAGAGAGAGTGTGTGTGATACGAACCGAGCTTGATGAGTAGGGTTGTCTGCTCCTCCTCTGACGGACTGTTCTCAGACTGCGCCTGCATGTATTTTGCCATTAAAGCTTCGTGCTCTTTCCGCAGTGTAGCTTCCTCCTCCGTCTCCTCTGTTGAATACATGTGCGTGCGTGTGTGTGTTTGGTTGTGTGTGTGTGTTTGGTTGTGTGAGTGAGTGAGTGAGTGAGTGAGTGAGTGAGTGAGTGAGTGAGTGAGTGAGTGAGTGAGTGTGTGAGTGAGTGAGTGAGTGAGTGAGTGAGTGTGTGTGTGTGTGTCAGGTGCAGCGGCGACGGCGCCGTTAACGAGCGTGCGATGTGCATGTATCAAAGCGCACCCCCTCCCCCAACTCACGCCCAAAAGCAAACTGGTGAGCACTGCACCTGGATCAGCGCCGGACTGGAGGAGGTCGCGTTGCTTCGACGTCTTCTCGATAAAGGCGAGCGTGGCATAAAACTCCTTTGTCTGCACGTGCACGCACAAGGTCAACCAAAACAAACAATTGAGTCGTTGTTGATGTGAGGGAAGGCCGTATGCATGTGAGCAATTGCGTGTCTTCCTTCCACTGTGTGGGAAGAAACAAAATCCCACTCGCGTGACCAAGTAGGAGCAACAGCGCACGCGTCTGCGTCACATGTGTTCAGGGTGCTCACCTGCCGAACACTGGCAGCAATCTTGTCTGCATTCACGTCTGTGTTTGATTCCCGCTTTGTCGCTGTAGGGACATGTTCACGTGGTATGGGTGAGTGCTTGTGTTGAAGAATGTCACATGCAAAACCTGAAAACAAAACAATCCGATGCCTTCATGTGCACACGACATTGTCTGCGCTGCACACACACACACGCACACGCACACACACACACGCACACACACATGCACGTACGTGTTGGCGTTGTGACGCGGGCGGAACGCTCGTCCTCCAATGACTCATCAGCATCACCGCCGGTGGTCGTGTCCGGGTTTTTCGCTGCGCTGCTGCTGCTGTGCTGCGGCGGCGAAGTGGATGTCTGGTCCGATGCTGCCGTTGTCCGCGATCGGCTCCTCTCCAGCATGGAGCGAACCGCCTCCAGACGCGACTTGGACTCGCGGTCCACAACTGCATCGGGTGTGGTGTGTGTGGTGTGTGTGTGTGTTCGAACAAACGAGAAGTGAGACACAGTGCATGCAGTTTGGAAGCGCGCAGCACCGCTCAGGTCCTGTGCCTTTTTCAGCGTTCACCCAGGTCTGCTCCAGCACCGATACCATCGCCCCTGTGTGACTCACCCCGCGTGTGTTTGTCGCTGAGAGCATCCGATGACGAGCGCGCCACCGACAGCAGCGACGAACCAGACGAACGGCCAAGCTGCGGTTGTGGGCACGGGTGTATGTGCATGTGTGTGTGTATGTGCATGTGTGCATGTGTGTGTGTGTGTGTGTGTGTGTGTGTGTGTGTGTGTGAATGCGCACGTGCATGCAAAGCGTGCGGGGGGGGGTACATGTGTGCACATGTGTCAGCGAGAACCAAGTTTGCTGACAGCGCGCATCAACGACGAAGATAGCCATGAGAACGAACGAACACACGCCCACACACACCCTCACACAACGCCCACACACATACATACACACACACATGCACGCACAAACCAACCGTCTGTGTGGCTGTGAGGAGCGAGGATCCCGGGAGCTGTCCCGCCCACGTGCTGTCGTCGATTTCGGGCTCGAGGGCGCCCATCCTGCCCATGAAGACCGGAGCAACGGTCCGCACCACCTCCGCAGGCAAGTGCTGGTCCTTCGAGCGCGCAACACCTCTCGTCTTCAGCTGGCGATGGATGTGGATGTGGCGGTGGTGGAAGGAGATGCAAATTTACGACAGTAACGAGCAAATTGCAGTGCAGCGTTGTGAGCACACATGTGTGTGTACATGCGTGAGTGTACATGTGTGTGTGTGGATGTCTACTCTCCCTTTTCTGTGTGCCCTCTTCTCTGCACGTCCTCGTTGACTCTCCCTTGTTCCCTTCCTTGGCACATGTACGCATGTGAACACCCACCCCTCGTTGGCGGAACGTTGAGTTGAATCCCTTCCTTCCTGTTGTGTCTGCGGGTTTCTGTGGCGCAAACGGCGGCTGGCTCTTCAGTGTGTGCGTATGGGTGTGTGTATGTGTGTGTTTGGATGCGTGCGTGTGTGTATGTATGTGTGTGCATGCGTGCGTGTGTATGTGTGGTGTGTGAGGTGCAGCAAATCGTTTGGGCAGGGGCAAAGTGGGTTGGACTCACAAGCACACTTAAACCAACCCACGACGGGCAAGCCCATGCACACACAAACACACACACACTCACGCTCACACCCACGACCACTCAAACTCACACCCACACCCCCACCCATCTGCATCGACCAATCCCACGCATCCCATACACGAACACCAAGCACACCTGTTTCACGGGGCGGAGAGCGCCATCACCAATGTTGAGGTCGAGGTTGGTGACGGGCAGCGTGATGGTCTTCAGGACGGGCGCATGCGACGACGCAACATCGTCCCTGCCGAGATGCAATGACGCAAACGACGGCGACACGCCCATGCCCACAGCCTCCTTCATGCAGAACACGTGCATTGTCTGTGGGGACTTGGGCGGACTGCTGGTGCTGGTGTTGCGTGCCCTGGTGGCGTGGGGGACGGAGATGGCAACATACAATCGGCGTTACACATACAGCAGCAATAGAACAAAACTGCACGCATTCACGGAGTTGGTTCAAGCAAAGGCATGACAGACACGCAAAGACACAAAGACAGACAGACAGACAGACAGGCAGAAAGGCAGATGGACGGACACAACACACACACACACACACACACACACACACACAGACAGAGAGACAGACGGAGACAGAATACGTACGGTGGGGCGAGGACAGCGCTGAGGCCAGACCGTGTCAACTCCCTGGATAAGAAGTGCAGGTACATGAGAGGGGGTGAGTTGCTTCGCGCGTCGTCGTGACACGAAGACACACAGACACACAGACACACAGACACACACACAGACACAGACACACACACACACACACGCACACAGACACAGACACAGACACACACACACACAAAAGCAGACAGACAGACAGACACATACACACACACACACACACAGACAGACAGACAGACAGACAGACACACCTCTGCAGAGCAAATGGCTGTGGAGTGGAGGGGGTGCGTGGCGGGCGTTCACGCGGAGTGGGATCGCCGCCTTCGCCATCGCTGTCTTCACTATCGCTCCCATCAACCCTGATGGCTGGCGGTGCCGCACTCCTCTTGACAGCGGTCCCTGTCAGTGAAAACCCGTCACGCATTCCCGTCGGTGGCGTGGACATGCCCGTGTGTGGACGCCCCGCTGGCGTGCCCACCACGCTGACAATATGGGGCAGTGTGGTGGTGGTATCAGCGTCCGCCGATGTGGGTTGCCGTAGCAGCGGCTGCTGATGATTCCCTGCTGGGGATGATGCGTCTGGCAGGGAGGCGGGTTGAAGCATGGCGCCACCACCAGTCGCTCGAGCTGTGCTCGTGTATGTCGGCACTGCATCATCGCTCAGTGGTAGTGGTGATATGACGTCTGTTGCATCCGGAGATGAGCTCTGGTCGCCAGTTCCGTCGCCACCACTCGTTGCCTCTGCTGTTGCTGCTTGTTCGCCTTGCTGCATGCCAAGGCTGGGCTCAGGGCTGGTTGCAAGGGCAGGGGCACCGCTACCGACTGCCGTTGCCGAGTCCACGTTGTCGTCCTCTTCCTCCTCATCTCCGCTTGGCTGCAGCTCTTCAGCGGTGAATGCAAACTCCGGGAGGTCAAACGGGTTGGTAACCTCAGGCGGCGTCCCCACGTTTCGTGACAGCAGATTGTCATCTCCGTTTCTTGCGCCGCCCTGGCCTGTGCCTTCAGTGTCATCCAACAGCGCGCGCATGCGAGCGTCGTATGATCTGTGCAGCTCCCTCATGGACCCTGGCCGTGTGCTTACCGTCGCTGGCCTGGACACCACGTCACCTGCATTGGTGCATTCGCGCAGCATGCAGCAAGCCAACCACGCCATCTCATGATGAGCACATCTCAGGCAACTCAAGCATGAAACTCCTTTCCCCCAACACACAACGACCAGTCCACACACACACACAGACACACACACACACCAGTCCACACACACACACACACACACACACACACACACACACACACACACACACACACACACACACACACACACACACACACACACATACTGACCTTCGATGGCTGGCAGTGGCCCAGGCACGTCTGCCGCCTCTTGTTGCTGAGGATCAACAGCCGTGATGATGTGGCCGCTCTCACCACCACTACCATGCTTTTGCTGCTGCTGTTGTTGCTGTGGTTGTTGTGGTGGTCTGGAGGCTGCTGTCTTACTTCCATCGCCGCTGCCGCCTCCACCTTTCGACCCTCCAGCGCTCCCCACAACGCGCAACCCATCCATTCCCGTCGTCTGCTGCTGCTGCGGCTGCTTGGAAACCGTTACTACTGTTTATGGTGTCGAATACTGGTTGTTGTGGTTGTGGTTGCTAATTGCACGCAACAGGCAAAGCCGCGCCATGTCAACCGCCAAGAAGCGAGTGGCTCTGACCACGGCGGAGAAGGCAGCAGTGGTGCATGAGAAGGGCAGAGATGCGTCGCTGACTCGAGAGCAACTCATCGAGTACTGCAGTGCAAAGTTTGGCAAGCGTCCGTCGCCAGCATGCATCACAAACATCCTCAAGGATCCAAAGCGCTGGGAGGAAGCAGCAAGCGATCCTTACACAGCAAAGCGTGCCAAGCTTCGACCGAGCCCAGTTGCAGGTCTCGAAGCAGCTTTGGCCGCCTGGGTTGAGCAGCAGAAGGCCCAAAACTTCCCGCTGACAGACGAAACACTGTTGGCAAAAGCACATGCCATTGGGCAGCACACATCTCTGCCAGACCATTTCAACTTCAGCCACTCATGGCTGCTGCGATTCAAACATCGTCATGACATGTGTCAGCGCAAGCTTCACACACAGGCGGCAAGCGCGGACATGGATGGTGTTGCGCTTGCGCGTGAGGCGCTGCCCAGACTCCTCGAGCACGTTTCCCGTGATGACCTGTACAACTTGCGCGAGGCAGCTGTGTACTATACGCAGCTCCCAACTCGCACTCGTGCATCTCACCAACGTGCGGGAGCGGTCACGAACAAGCAGCGACTGACCGTTGCTCTGTGCTGCAATGCTTCTGGTACCGACAAGCTGCCGTTGTACGTGATTGGCAAGGCAGCGAACCCTGGCTGTTTTGCAAAAGGTTGGCGGTCACTTCATGATTCCGGTGCTCATTACGATTCCAACAGCAGCGCCTGGATGACCTCCACAATCTTCAACAACTTCCTCAAAGACTTCACCCGGCATGTCCAGCGGCCTGTGTGGCTGATTGTCAACAACGCACGCTCCCACATCGTCGCAGATGGCACACCAGGCACATGGTTTGGCTTGAAGGGTGTCAGTATCGGAACGGTGAACGTGGTCTTCCTTCCGCCCAACACGACGTCCCATGTGCAGCCCTTGGATGCTGGCATCATTCGCTCCTTCAAAGCGAAATACCGAGTGCGCCACCTTACCTGGCTGTCCAAGGAGCTCGAGGACACAAGCGTCACAGCTGCACGGCTGCATGTGCCCCTCGACGTTGCATTTCACTGGTGCCAGAATGCTTGGAAGGACATCAGTGTTGACACCATCCGCCATTGCTGGGATCACGCCGACATTCTCCCTGGAGACGACCACATCGACGAGCTGAACGCACTGCTAAAACCGCTCGCCTCCGACCCGCGCTTCGGCAAGGAGACCCCAACTGCCGACGCTTTGCTGAGCTCACCGATGGAAAATGTTACGGAGGTACCACACGAGCCTCGTGATCTGGAAGCGATGGTTGACCACCTTGAGGGTTCTGACGGACGGGAGGCTGGGCATGTCGGCACGTGTGATGTGGGTGATGACGGGGACCACAACAGTGGTATGGGTGGTGTGGGTGGAATCGATGACAACGACGAAGGGGACGATGGGGAGGGTGATGTGATTTGTCTTGACGACGTGCCATCATCGTCACAGCGCCCGGCAGTCCCGAAAGTGAACGCACCCCCACCAACGCTTAGGCAAGCAAGAGAGGCGGCCACTCTTCTTCGCCGCTTCATTACATTCCACCCGCACAAGCTCGCCAACTACCGTGACTATTTGGTTTCCCTTCGTTCGGCCCTTGACTTTATTGTGATGCCTCAAACACAGCCTACTCTGGATGTCTTTCTCACTGATGACGCTTCTGTCGACGAGTCTGCACAGTAAACCGTCTTCCTGGCCGTATGTACACACACACACACACACACACACACACACACACACACACATGCCTGCACTCTGTCAGAGTGCACTGCTGTCGCTTGTGATTTGGTTGTCTGTACTTTGCTCTGCCTTACTCTCCATGTCACACCCCACTCCCTTTTTCGCTCTCCCCGTCATGCCATCATTCACATCAAGGTCACAGCATCCCCGCCTTTCCACCCTGCCCCTGTTGTTGCTGATAGTTGTTTATGGTGCTGGCACGCGCATCACAGGGAAAAGCAGGCAATGGTGAACAGGGTCGAGCAGGCCAAAAAGCGAAAGCGAATAGCATGAAGTTGTGTTGGTAGACACGTGGTGTTACACAGACCACACACACACACACACACACACACACACACACACACACACACACACACACACACACACACACGTCATGTGTCACTCCTTGCCTTGACGAAGCTTCAGCGTCAGCGGGCTGTCCTCATCCTCGTCCACATCATCAGCATCACCACCATCATCATCAGCACCGCCCTTCTGCGCGTCGGTGGCGCGTGGGCTGTAGCGGCCAGCCAGCACCGACTCCGCCGCCAGCTGCTGCGAGGGGCGGTGTGATGCCGTTTGCGACGGCGTTTGCGACGCGTGCGTGCTGACGAGCGTGGACGCAGACTCAAACCCATCGCTGTCTGTGGTGGACTTCATCTTGGCACTCTCAATCTCCTTCTCCATGTCATCGCCAAAGAAGAGCTTGTCAATGTCCACGGGCGAGTCGGGGTTGACGTGGTGCATCATGTGCGCAGACTCCGCCGGCGACACCACAATCACCTGTGAGGGCTTCATCTGCAGGGACGACGAGGACGCTGATCGCGCCGGCTCGCCACCATCATCGCCACGACCACCCGTGCTGATGGCCGGGCTGTCGAGCAGCGCCGTTGGGATGCGCGGGACATATGTGGACACGGCGTCAATGCCCAGCGGGAAGACCTCAATGAGGTTGCCGTAGGGGATGGGGGTGATCTTGAACACCGTGTGCAGGTCCACCTTGATGTACGGTAGCTGAGATGCAAGGTCAGACTTCTGCTGGAAGTACGAAAGCAGGCAGCGCGCAACGGCCTGGTGGCACACAACCAGCACATTCTCCTGCGGCGCATGTGCGTGATGGTTGATGGTGGTGTTGATGGTGGTGGTAGTGTGTGCACGACAGCGTGTGAGGTTGTGTTCCTGACCACATGCGGTGTGTGTGTGTGTGTGTGTGTGTGTGTGTGTGTGTGTGTGTGTGCGTGTGTGTGTGCGCGCGTCTGTGGTTGCGCTGTGGAATGGTCACGAGCCACCAGCATGAGACAGAGACGCATGGGAGGCGTCATCAAGGCCACCACCTGCGCCTGTTCAAGGTCGAGGATGCGCGGTTCCAGCCGCTGCACCACATCCGCATACGACTCGCCCCTGCGACGATCACACACACGCATACAATGAGCCACGCGGTCACAGGCCATCGTCTGAGGCACGCAGCCACCAGGGTGTGCGCGTGGATGTTTGCGGAGGTGCGTGTGCTACGTGTGCTACGTGTGCTACGTGCGTCCGACGTGCATGTGTGTGCTAAACTCCACGTCATTGTTTGCATCGTGCGCGTTACCTTGGGTAGCGGGTCCAGTACTTGTCTGTGGCCCGATCCCGATACACGTCGGGGAATTGCTCCTGCACACACACACACACACACACACACACACACACACACACACACACACACACACACACACACACAAAGCGAAAGCATGTCACATCATCATGACGCAATTAGCAGCAGCGCCCTGAAAATATGACACGAGTGCATTGCCCACCAACCACACCGAAGCAAACTTATGACGTGCAAAGTCGCACCTCGACCTCCTTGTACGTGAGCTCATCGCAGAGGCCTGCATCAAGCTCATCCAGCGCTTTCCACGACTACAGTGACGGCAGGAGGGGCAGGGAAGGGGAGTGACAGTCAATGTTGTCGCAGATACTGCCTGGCATGCAGAAACGGACGATTGTGCCTCCAAACACACAGACACAGACACAGACACACACACCTCCACACCTCCACACGGACACACACACATACACACGGACACACGGACACACATACACACACACACACACCTCCACACACGGACAGACAGACAGACAGACAGACAGACAGACAGACAGACACACACACACACACGCACCTCCACGTCGTCAAAGTTCTGGGCGGTCTGGATGGTGCGCTTGAGGGAGGAGCACCACACACGCAAGTTGGGCAGCTCTTGCCTGGTGGCGGCGACGAAGGGAAGGGTGTTGGGTGCAGTGGGGACGTGAAGTGATGATGCCAAGAGTGAGGAGGTGAAGGGGGGGGGGTAACATGTGAACAGAGGCAGTATTGACACAGGCCAGCCCCAAACAAGCACACGCGTGCACAGGATGGATACGCACTCGTCCATGAACTGCTTGAGGCGCTGCGCGTATTCCATTCCGCGTGGTGACAGGGACGAATCGCCGCCAATTTTGCCTGCAGGCATTTCCAGGAGGGCGTCAGCTGAAGGCGGCTGGCAGGACGACACACACACACACACAGACACAGACATAGGCAGAGACACAGATACACACACGGACACAGAGACATAGGTACAGGCAGGCAGGCAGGTAGGCAGGCAGGCAGGCAGGTAGACAGACAGACCGACAGACAGACAGCCACACACACACAAGCTATTCTCGTGTCGCTCGACAGTCGGGCCGAGGACCCATTTCGCTTAACACCGCTATCGATGTCGATTCGGATCCGAGGGGTTCAGCTTTATCTATTTGACCCAGGGGAAATAAAAGCAGCACGTCGGCATGCATTGCGTGGGGGGGCTGTAGATCCCAGCTCTTAGCCAATTGCCAAGAGCACCTGTAGCGCGCAGTGAAGTTCCACCTCTAGAGCTCGCGATCCTTACTAATTCAAGCTAATGCCTAGCCCCAGGACTCCTCATGATCCGCCCTGTGGCAAGCAAAAGCACACACACACACACACACACACACACACACACACACACACACACACGCACACATGAAAACAGCGCTGAAGGATACTGACCAACTGTGTTGAATTCGCTTTCGCCGTGGCGGGTGATATAGATGTGGCGCGGTTTGATGTGCAGGCTCATCAGGAATCTGAAACGAGAACAAGCAGCGCGCACGCGCGTGAGGGTGGTTGACTGTCGCAACACGCTTACGATCGCACAAATGAAGCCACGCGACGACAGATACACAGACAAAGACAGACACACAGGCACATGGACAGACGCAGACACACACACACACACACACACACACAAGACAGACAGACAGACACACAAGACAAAGACAGACACACAGGCACATGGGCACAGACAGACAGACAGACAGACAGACAGACAGACAGACACACACACACACACACAAGACAGACACACAGACAGACACAAACAAACACACACACACACAATCTCAGCAGACGTGCACCTTGCGATGCGCATCTGCAGGTAGCCCTGAACGCGGTGGAGGAGGACAGATCGTCCGACGTCGACGAGTTTGATGAAACTGCAGTCGGCGTCCTGCTCGGAGGACAGCGGCTCGTAGCGCATGCGGTAGTACTTGATGCGCTCCTGTCCAGGGGTTTGCGGTGGGTTTGGGGAGGGGGGAGGTGGCGAGGGGATGACGGGATGAGCAAGAGCTGAAGCTGATGCAAGAGAGATCAGAGAACACCACACGCACACGCACACGCACACACACACACACACACACACACACACACACACACACACACACACCCTTTCTCACACATCATGTCACGTCACGTCACATTGACATCACACCTCAAAGTCAGCAACAGCGGCGTCAACGCTGAGGGCGCCGTAATCTGGCAGCCGCACCTTTACATCCTGGATTGGTGTTGTTGTTGTTGTTGCGGTGGTGGTGCATGATATTGGTGTGTTCATATTTTCATGCTCGTGTCAGTACTTGCAAATGTGTCAGCGTGAGTGTGACGAGTGCTTGAAGCGGAGCACACACACACACACACACACACACACACACACACACACACACACACACACACACGTATGCACACTTGAGTGGGTAATGATGGCGAGTGCAGTAGTTGTGACAGCAGGGCAAGGCTGGCTGTGTCCGTACCATGATGTTGTTGCGGATCTGCTGGTCATCATCGCACACGGACTCCACAAATACAACCTATACACATGTACACAGACACATGCGCAAGCGCACACGTGAGCTTTCGATAAGTGGAAGCAATTCAAGTACACACATACGGTATACACAGCTGTAACTAGCAAATGTTCGTGCGCAGGCAAGTGTATACACCGACTAACTACACATACACACAAACACACGCACAAATAAGTTACTTACCCTGACGCCGGCCTTGTTGAGGATGCGCTGCAGCCACATGCGGCGCTCGCGGGTGCTGTTGGTGGCATCAAAGATCTGGAGATTGTTTGGGGGAGGATGGGGATGAATGGGAAAAGATCACTCTCCTTAGCATGACACAGACACACAGACACACAGACAGACAGACAGACACACACAGACACACACACGCACAATGAAACACACCGCAACGCCGCCGTCATTGCGAAGATATTGCAGGACGTCTTCAATCGCTTGGCGAGCGAGGACCCTGGACACAACAGGCATATCGCGTGCATGTGAGTTGCATTGAAGCGGGCGGGGGGGTATGTGACGACACAGACAGACAGACAGACAGACAGACACACACACACACACACACATACACACACACACAGACATACACACGCGCGCACAGACATACACGCACACAGGCACACAGACAGACAGACACACACACACACACAGACATACACGCACACAGACACACAGACAGACACACACGCGCGCGCACACGAGCACAACCCTCACTTTCGTTGGCGCACGCCCTCGAAGTTGTCTGGGTGGAAGAACTGGGCGGGCGATTCAGGGCCGAGCTTGCGGCGTCGATACTCGCCCAAATTAAACACTGTAGATGGAAGGAGGGGCAGCAAGAACATGGGAAAGTAAGAGACGACGATGAAGTTAAGTGGGGAAATCATATGTGACATCACAATCAGAGAGGGTAACAACAAACAGCAAACAATCAATAAGCAACCACAAATCAACCACGGACAGCTCACCGCGCGTGGGAACCATGATCCAGTTGAGGTAGTACGCAAGCTTGGTTGCAATGTACGTCTTTCCTCGGGCTGGCAGCCCAACAAGCGCTGGATGGGGGACAGCAGGGGAATGTGGTATGGAAAGAGGAGAGCCAAGACGCGTGAGCAGGAAACACGAGATCACGAGCTGGTGATCATCATGGGGATGTGTTTGATAAGAGCAAGATCATCACCACATCACGAAGAGCGGAAAAGAAGCGGGGGAGGGGGAGGGAGGGCAGGCTCAAGGACACAACACAGAGCACATCACAACACATACAGACAGACACACATGACAGACAGACAGACACAGACACAGACACACAGACACAAACACAGATACACACACAGAAACACAGATACACACACAGATACACAGATACACACACAGATACACAGATACACACACAACTGACCGACGACGAGCTTGTGCTTGAAGACGGAGTGTCCGCTGACGCCTCCTTTCTTCACGGACGGCACAATGTCAGCCATCTCTGTTTTGGAGCGGCCTTGCATGGCAGGAAATCGCTGTCCTTGGCTGGCGAAGAAGCAACCCCACTAACAACCACAACGGTACTTCCAACCACGCTCAAACCCGGTTCTCCTTTGTCTCCAACCAGAACCAAGGCGCTTGCTTGCCTGCCTGCTCCACCCAACACAACAAAGAAGAACAAGGATGCGCGTTGCTTGCTTGCTTTGTTTGACCGCGGGCGACACGCAGAACGAGGTTTGAACTGCGCACGACCGCGGTCTGCGCAACATTTTCAAGCAATTATCTACAAGTGTTTGCTGACTCACACTCAGCAGACGAAGAAGATGCAGAGGACGAAGATGGAGATGAAGTTGGGGAGACAAGCAGCAGGGATGAGATGGGTTGTGTTGTTTGTGGCGGTGCGGTGGCGGTGTGTGGTAGTAGTGTTGGGGTGAATGGGGAGGACGTCTATTTCGCAGACTGCGTCAACCTCTTCTCAGATGCATCCTGCAGCATGCCGCGTGGATCTGCCACGGTGAGCAGTTTGTGTGCGGACGTGTGTGTTGTGCTCGCAGCGTGTGCTCACACATGTAGTGATTGGTGCTTGCAGCGTGGGTGTGCAGCTTCGTTTGGTTGTCTCATGTCAGGTGTTTGTGTGACACAACGTGTACTTGTGTGACGATCATGTGCTTGCACTGTGGCTGCGTGCATACATGTTGTTGGTGTCGTCGTCACTGTTGCAGCTTGGAAGACTGCCGCAAACCCGCTATTGTCTGCGATCCACCCAAACCTGCGCAGCAGCCCCCGATTTCCAGGTGCGCGTGGGTAAATTGCGCTCGTACCTGTGCCTGTGCTTGTGCTTGCCCTCTTTCTGCTTGACATTGGCATTCTTGTGGTTGCCAGTCGTATGTGATGTGGCAACGAACGGGTGGATGTGCAAGAAGACACTGCACAGGTTCTAATGCAACACTTGGATCTCTGCGTGCAACAGGAAGCGTATTCCTTTGACTGCCAGAAAGACAACAGCTCCAGCATCAAGATATGGACACGCACCACACACTGTTCCCCAGATACGCCAAACTTTAACGTGACAGGTGCGCTTCGAGGCGTGCATCTTGGGGATGGGTGTGCGAGTGAGTGAGTGAGTGAGTGAGTGAGTGAGTGAGTGAGTGAGTGAGTGAGTGAGTGAGTGAGTGAGTGAGTGAGTGAGTGAGTGAGTGAGTGAGTGAGTGAGTGAGTGAGTGAGTGAGTGAGTGAGTGAGTGAGCCCGTGTGCGTCATCTGTACGATCTCTCTGTGTCTGTTTGTGTGCATGTGTTCCAAACGTTTTGCTCTCATCAAGTCCTATATGTTGTCACCCCACCCCACCCAATCCTTTGTGCGATCGCTGTCATTGACATGCTTGCGGCATTCCAACGCCTGCAGTGCGCGCGGGCGAGTGCGTGTTCGCCTTTACCGACACGCGGCCGCCAACGGGCCCCGTGTATGTGCGCCTGGAGTGCGACGTCGAAGTGCGCGAGAGTGAGACGCGGTCGTTCCTGGTGTCCTTTGGCATCAACGCCGTGCTCGCCGTGCTGCTGCTCACCCTCTTCTGCTGCCTTCGCCACCGCCTGCCGCACTTGTACGAGACGCGCGTCGAGGAAATAGATGACATCGGAAACCTCGCCCCCGTGAGTACTGGATCTTGCCGCGGTGTGTCGTGTGTCGTGTGTCGTGTGTGTCGTGTATCGTGTGTCGTGTGTGTGTGTGTCGTGTGTGCGTGTGTTGTGTGTCGTGTGTACTTATGCGTGTGCGCGTGTGCGTATACTTATGTGTGTGCGTGTGCGTATACTTATGTGTGTGCATGTGCTTGCGTCCATGTCCTGCACTGTCGTTGCCTGCTTTATGTGTGTTGTGTGTTTTTTCTACTGGAGTTGGTGCCCTTTGCCTTTCTCACTTGGCCCACTTCTCGTCTCGCTGTCATGATCAGAACAACCCACCACAGCCGGGCTACTTTGGCTGGCTCACCACCTCCTTCCGTCTCACGGATCAGCAGGTGAGCACGATCAACATGGGGTAGCCATTCGCATGTGTTCATGTGTGTACGTGTATGTGTTTGTGTGAGAGCATGTGTGCTTGTTGCTTCAATCGATTACATGTTACATTACACACACACACACACACACATACGCACATACGCATACACACATACACACACATACGCACGCACTCTCACTCCCACTCTCACGCGTGTGCACATGCCTGTGCAGATGTTTGAGCAGTGCGGGCTGGACGGGCTGATGTACACACTTCTCTTCCGCACGCTCCTCAAGGCGTTTGCCGCGTGCTTCGTGCTCACTGCCATCATCATATTGCCCGTCAACGCGCACGGCGGACTTGGCCTCACTGGTGTTGATGGCCTGTCCATCGCCAACGTGTCAGACGGCAACCAGAGCCTCAATGCGCACCTCATCCTCACGGTCGTGTACAGCGTCATCATCATGTATGCGCTCCGACACTCGTACAGGAAGGTATCGTGCAACCGTTCAGTTGCTGCTGGCGGGTGACTCTGTGAGTGAGTGAGAGCATGTGTGTTTGTGGTTGTGTGCGTATGTGTGTGTTTGTGGTTGAGTGTATGTGTTGATATGTGCGCGCGTGTGTCGGTATGCGCGCGTAAGTGTGCGTGTGGTAGAGTTGGCTTGTGCACACGCACCCTCTTGTGGCCTCCCTCACGCCACCATCACGCCACGACGACCAGTACACCAAGTTCCGCTACCGCTACCTCGCCACAGCGCACGCCAACAACTACGCTGTTCTCGTGCGCGACATTCCGCCCGATGTTCCCACAGATGCAGCCGTTCTCGACTACTTCAGGTGATGACCCACAGCTGCATGGGGATGCTGTGGCCGTGGTGGTGGTGGTGGTAGTGGTGGTGTTGGTGGTGTTGGTGGTCGTGGTGTGTGTGTGTGCGTGCGTGTGTGTGTGCGTGTGTGTGCGTGTGCGTACGTGTGTATGTGTGTATCGTAGTACTAGCGTTTGGCGTGCGCTTGCTCTCGTTCACACCACGGTGGCTTGTGCTTGTGTTTGTGCATTCTGTGGTGCGCCTCTGCTTTGGTGCTGGGCAGATCAATGCACGAGGGAGCCGAGCAGGTGACGCGGTTTGTGGACGTGAAGGACCTCCCAGCCATCACAAAGAAGCGAAAGCAGGTGCGCTACGCGTGCATGTCTGCAACGCGCCATTGTACACATGAGACAGGTGTACTAGTTTTGTGCACACGTGGAGACATGCACATGCATGATGTAACACTCCCGAAACACTCACCCACTTACACCCGCTCACTCACACATGTGCACACACACGCACACTCACCCACTTACACCCACTCACTCACACATATGCACACACACGCACACTCACCCACACACCTACTTGCACTCATGCAGGCGCGAAAGCAGCTTGAGCGGGCGCTGCATAAGCAGGAGCAGGGCGGGGAGGCGACGATGCGGCGTGGCGGGTGTCTCGGCTGCGGTGGTGACGTTGTCGATGCAGTTCACCACTGGCAGACGGAACTCAACACGCTCAACGACACGGTAAGTGACTGCTGCTCGCAAACACCTCCCTGATCCACCCGGTTCAACGTCACCACCGCCTCCTATCTCACCATCCCATATGCCATCATCACCATCACCACCACCACCACCACCACCACCACCACCACGTGGCAGTATGCGCGGCGGCTGCGCGAGGTAACGGAATCTCCGTCCTATCTTCCGAGCGCAATCGTCACGTTCAAGACTGTCAAGGACGCCACGATTGCATCACAGGTGCGCCACTCGCGCGTGCCGTTTACCTGGACGATTGATCTGGCGGCAGAGGCCCGCGACCTGCTGTGGTCGAACCTGGCACTGCCCCACACGGCCCGTCTCTCCCGCTCCGTCGCAGTCACCATCGTCACCATCATTCTCGTG